TGGCTCAAACATTAGGCAGTTAGCATGACTCGATCCAACTATGGAGTTTTGCAGAAGAATCCGTTTTAACAATGATTTTAACTGCACTACATCAGGATTGCTGTTGTAACCTTTTTTTCCACAAATGCAAGCAAATAGTAGTTCAAGATGATCTTGGGAATATTTGTAAGTTAAAACATACTTAATTGGTTTCTCATGAAGTGTTAACAGATCGAAGGATAATTTTAGAGTGCTTTTAGCATCTACAATTAAACCTAAAACAAATGTCTTTCTTCGATGTAAAAGCATTGGAATGCCATTAATATCAGTCAACTTGCTCAGATAATTAATCGTAGTGTTTAAAAAATCTTTCCAATAAAGCTGATTATTTAGATATAAAGGTTTCTTAAAGTGTTTACCATTTGGATTTCAGGAATTGAGCATGTCAAATAATTTATTAATAACTCTTACAAAACGGATGGTACTACTTGCTTCTAAGAAAGATGGATGCTGCGATACCATTAAAAATTCAATTGCATCAGCAACAGAGCTGCTAAGTGTTTGGCCAGCTATTTTGACATTCATTTTGTGGCGATGAAATTCAATATGTTTTCTTGAAAGTTTGTTTGCAAATTTTAAACCTTCAAGCTCTTGTAACTCAAACAAAGCTTTAATATAACTCCATTTAATATAGCAGCTCTCATCATCAATAAAAACACCCAAATCATTTAGAGAATTTCTAGTTAATTTAAGCATATGGCATGGGTCTAGGAAAATGTGGAGCAATTGGTTATTATATAAAAAAGTACTAACTATATTGTCTATGACATTGCCAAACTTACATCCAAATAGAACAACGAAATTTAAATTTGTACTGGTACCATCAAATGTAATACTTTTGATACAAAGTTCATATGTCAAAGCCACATTAAAATATTTTTGATAAAACATGTTAAATCACTTGCTTTAACTTTATTTGATAAAACATAACCAATAGGTGTTTTCCAATGTCCTTGCAAACCAACTAACATGAAAATTAGTGCCTCTGTAGCTGGAATATCAGGTTCACATACAGAAATAACTTTACCAAAATCACAAAAACTAATATAGTGACCTGAACTTTTGTCATAAATTATACTGTTTTTGATTGCCATAGCATCAATAATAAGAGCACAATGCTTAAAAATATCTGTTTTCCGTTTATTACCAAGATATGAAAAAATATCAAGGAATAAACCGGGATCACAATTTACAGATGATGTCCAATGTGATATTGAACTGGCAGCAGGAAGACATAACATTGGCCAAAGAAAGTTATACACATGTGGAGAATAAAAATGAAGAGTTAAAGCGAATTTTTTTACTTCATCGTTGTATCTGTGACCTTTTGGTTTAATATTTTGATTGGAAAATTGGTTCTTAATGATTTTATACAAGAGTCCAGAAAATTTTTTGCTTAAAACAGTTCCAGCATCAGTAGTCAAATAATTTTTAGATTTTAAAAGGGAAACCATGTCTTTTAAAGAACAGATTTTCTTTTTTTTTCTTCTTAATTTTTGTTGTAAAACCTTAACTTTTTTATTTATTTTTCTTTTGCTGGTGATAAAGATTTTATAGATTGTGTTGGAGATTGACTAGTGTGGTCATTTTGATCAATAGTGCTTTCTGGCTGATTATTATGTGTTGAATTAATTTCTTTGCTGGGTTTATCTATAGCAGGGCAAACATAAAACTTTGTTTTTTTCGATAAGGATCAAATTTAGATAATGAATTTACTGATGTTCGTATTGATGGGAGTTTCCTTTTTGTCTTTTGAATATTTGTAAAAAATACAAAAACTGATGGCACAGCATTAGATTTTTTTTGTCTGGGATACAGTAATTGTAGTCTGATTCTAAAAAATGGTCGCTGCAGATACAGGTGTGTTTGGATGGAAGAAAATTTTCACGTTTCAAAGCAATAATCCATCTTTTACATAATTCAGAATTTTGAAGAGGAAATTTATGAAAGGATTTCGTGCCACCTTTTATATATCTATTAGAACATCCATATGCAGCACAAGAACTAACCATTTTGTGATGAAAATAGTTGAATTAAATAAATACTTCAGCAAGGTAAAAGAAATAATGTCGCGAATTTACTCTCTATATTATATATGATATTTACTGTTTTCTGCCCGATATAATAATGGCTGATTAAAATAGTAAACAAATAAATCGGCTTCACTTTTATTTTATAAAAATCCCGAAGTTAGACATCTAGTTATTTATTTACGTCATTGTCTAAAACAAAGGCCTATTAATCGTGCAAACCGTAAAAATAACTGGAGGCCGATTTACTCAGAAAATTTGCCGAAGGTTAATACCGTTGCTTAAAATTAGAAGAAGAAAAAATATTTATTGAGTGAAAAGTGAAAAGTGTTGCAAATTGCTCTACTAATGACTTAACAGATAGTTCTGTTTACAGATTACCAAAAGATCCGAAAGAACGTAGAAAAAAAGTGTTCTGTTTACAGATTACCAAAAGATCCGAAAGAACGTAGAAAAAAAGTGTTCTGTTTACAGGTTACCAAAAGATCCGAAAGAACGTAGAAAAAAGTGTTCTGTTTACAGATTACCAAAAGATCCGAAAGAACGTAGAAAAAAAGTGTTCTGTTTACAGATTACCAAAAGATCCGAAAGAACGTAGAAAAAAAGTGTTCTGTTTACAGATTACCAAAAGATCCGAAAGAACGTAGAAAAAAAGTGTTCTGTTTACAGATTACCAAAAGATCCAAAAGAACGTAGAAAGTGGATATCAGCTATTCCAAGAAGCAACATTCCTGAAAGCAAATACACTGTTGTATGTTCTGAACATTGGCCTATAAAAAATAATGTTTATGGTAAGGAAAGACCCTCTTCTCCGCCTTCTATTTTTCATTATGTTAAGCCCAGCCTTGTACTAACTGTACCTCCAAAATTAAGAGTTACAACTTTATCAACTGGTACAAGAAATGTACAAGCTGATCAACTTGAGACGCTCAAAGCCATGGGCTCTTTCAATTTTAGTTATTTGATTATTCATTAACAAGTTTGTCTAAAAATCATGTAACTATTTTTAGAATAATGGTCAAATTTAGCTAATATTGAGTTATTGATAAACAAAACCATTTATTATAGAAGGTTTATCTTCTGTAAAAGGTTTAAGTATTGATGTTACACTATATTCTTCAAACACTATTGTTCGAGCTTTTGAATATTTTTCTGTTTCAAGAGTACTTTATAAGCTAATTAAAATGATTATCAGCTTCCCAGTGTGTCTACTCTACAAAAATTGACATCAAAAGCTTCAAAAGTAAACAATGATGAATTTATTTTGCAAGTTTTTTGCAAACTTACTAACCGACAGCAACAGTGCATTTTAATAGTTGATAAAGTATATGTTAAAACTTCATTAACTTATCACGATGGAGAACTTTTTAGGAAACCTGTTAATAAACCAGACAAATTAGCAAAAGCAATATTAGCTGTTATGATTAAATGTCTTTTTGGCGGACCCACTTTTATAGTATGCATGATTCCAGTATGTTGTCTTGATTCAGATATCTAGTTTGAAGTAGTTGATTCTATACTTGAATCAATTTCAAATGTCAATGTAAATTTTTTCTCTCTCTTTGAAACTTTTGAAGAGAAACCATGGCTGACTAAAAATAACATTTTTTAATTTACGATTATGTTCATATATGGAAAAACATAAGAAATAATTGGATTACTGAAGAAACTCAAGAAATTCAGTTTAAGGACAATGATGATAATTTAGTTGCAAGGAGGGATGATCTTAAGAACCTTTACAACTTAGAAAGTAAGACACTTGTGACTCTTTCACATTTAAATACAGCTTCAATCTTTCCAAAACCTGTTGAGAGACAAAATGTTTCTTTGTGTTTGAGAGTTTTTTGTGGTGAAACACTTTCTGGTTTATAGACACATCCTAAAATAGACCAAACCAATATTAAAGAAACTGTTGAACTTCTAAAAAAGTTTATAGATGCATGGAAAATTATTAATCTTCACAAACTGGGTGATGATAAAAGATTAAGAGACCCATTGCGCTCTGTCATCGAATCACCGCCAATTCAGACATTCGTGAGCTTCATGTTGGTCATACATGCATAAACTGTCAGAGGAAACTAACAAAAAAGGAAAATGAAATATTTAATTCTTTGAAGAAATTAGAGTCTAGTTTAACTAATGGTGTTAAAATGACTTTAGTATATGTTATTTTTGTCAGCCATGGTTTCTTTTCAAAAGTTTCAAAGAGAGAGAAAAAATTTACATTGAATTTATTATTGTTGTATAGTTGCAACACACCTTCCATTTGCATTGCTGGTTATCTTCAATTTAGGATTGGTTATAAAGATCTTGACACTGACACATATTCATATTGTAATGAGTATGATGCTTATCTCAAAGACTTAGATAGAGGTGGTTTGACAAAGCCAACTGACATTCTATGTCAATTTACTTTCTTTTGTTATATACTTTTTATTGCACTGGATCTGATTTTGCCAGTTTGTTTGCATTCCTTATCTTACTAGTTGAATCAATCGACAGTTTATATTTTTTGGGTTAATTTAAGAATAAAATGGGTATGAAATTTTTAAAATTTTGTCAAATATTTTTTTAAATAAATAGTCAAAGCTAAACACTCTGCGCTCTTACAAGGAGCCAGCTCAAAAAAATTTAAAATTGATTGATTAAATTAAAACTTTTGTTATTTTTGTTGTTTTACTTACGTAAAACTCTTTTGAATAAATTATGTTGCATTGAAATTTTGTAATATTTTCTCTTCGATAAATATAAAATAAGTATGCCTTTAGTTAGCAAGTTACATAACAATAGTAATTTGTTCAAATATTTTTATAAATCAAAACTAAGTCTAAATTAAATTTTTACTTAATCGGCCTCGAGTTTTTAAGTTTTGCCGCTCGTGTAATAGGCCTGTGTTTTAGCCGTGTATTTAACAGAAAGAAATGAATACGGCTACAGTTCGGCTTATTACTCTAAATAAAATTTCCCGCGTTTAACTTTTAACCTTAACTAAACAATAACTTAAAGTTTGAACAAATTTAAACATTAAATGGAGGGACAAACAACTCTAAATCAGTATTTCACAGCTCGAAAAAATGATATTTCGATGCAGCCATCAAAGAGGAGAAAGTTAGATCTTACTACGATAATTGAGCCAAATAATCGAAACCGTCGAACTTGTTTCAAAAATAAAGCTCAATTGGAAGTATTAGATTTGTTCAAAGACTCATCTAAAAGTGTTCAAAAGATTGAAGAAGCAAAATCAATTGATGATCGCTACTCTCCTAAAATTCAAGTTGAAGTAAGTTTAAAAAGAAAATCCACAGCAGAAAACTTAGAAATACTTAATCAAGAACTAATTTCTAAATCAATCAGCAATAATAATGATAACCTACCAAGTTGTAATAAAAATGAAGTCAAATGTCAATCCAAAGATTTAAATATTTTGAGAACCAACTTTACTAGAAGAAAGTTAAAAACAGTTTCTGCTATAAATGAACAAGCAAAAATGACTTTATTTAGTAGAGGATCTAAATTAGTAAATGCTGGGTTAGTAAAGTCATGTGGTAAACCATACAACGATAAAAAAGTATCTAACTCACAAAAAATTGATTTAACGACAATACCATTATTAAATGAAAAAGAAGAATTAAAATCACAACAAAACCAAAACTTTTCTCAATTGTCGCAAAAAAATTTTAATGTCGAGAAAGTAGCTGATATTTCAAAACAATGTAACTTAACACAATTTTCTGGCATAATTGAAACTGATTCTGCTATAACCCCTATAAATAAAAAAGTAGAACCTAAATCAGGACTTCGTAATAAGTATGCCCATTTATTGCAAATAGACATGTGCATAGATGAAAAAGCTATGGCAGACAAAAAGATGGATACCAATTTATGTGTGAATGATGCAGAAGAAAAGTATATAAAGTATATATATGTATATATATATGTATATATATATATATATATATATATATATATATATATATATATATATATATATATATATATATATATATATATATATATATATATATATATATATATATATATATATATATATATATATATATATATATATATATATATGAGTGGGTCAGAAGTCAAGGGGTACAAGTGACATTTTCATAGTTTTGAGATACAGCTGTTTAAAGTTAAAGTATTTTTGTTAAATATACTCAGCTGTTGTTATGTTTTTCCAGTAGAAAGCAGCACAGGGCAGAGATTCACTTGTATCCCTTGGCCACCAACAATTTTGTTTGCTTCTTCTATCAAATTCTATACTTAACTTAATTTTGGTAAAATCGTCACTTGTACCCCTTGGCTTCTGACCCACTCATATGTTTTTGTTTTTTATTTGATTTCTTGTGTTAAGAAGCTCTAAAAATTTTGGATGATTTATAATCTACTGTAAGAAAAAAATTCATGAGATTAAAGGGCGTGGAAAATATTGTTTTTGATATATATATATATATATATATATATATATATATATATATATATATATATATATATATACACACACTTACTAAAATGTATTTTTATAAGCTTTTGCTCACTTTTTTTGCTTACCTTTATCCATATGGCTTTTTTTTTAAAAAGAAGGAAAAAAACGAAGAATAATGAATGAAACAATTGCTGCCCTATCCCAAACCCTCAGTCGATGTAACAGCACTCCACTGCGAGTCAGACTATTTGTCAGTCAATGTATGTACTGAAGCCCCCAGCAGCAGGCTATTTCAGTATGACGTCAGATTGTTTACCTTAATACACAATACTATTTGTGTGTATATATATATATATATATATATATATATATATATATATATATATATATATATATATATATATATATATATATATATATATATATATATATATAGGGGCAGATCCAGCATTTTTTGGTGTTTGAGATAACTAACTTCCTGACCTATATGTTTATACTTATGTAAAATAAAGATGCTTTGCAAAAAATTGTAATGATTAGAGCCTGGGAATAATAAAAGCCCTAAAATTTTGGCCACAACCACCTCAAGCGTGAGGGCAATAAGTTGACAAAATATTTTTTTTACTAATCATAAATAAAGTTATATTTATAACCTACTCAAATTGAGGGGGATTTAAATTTTATATGGTCATTTTAAATTTTATTAAATTTTAATATGATCAAAAATTTAAAATTTATCGATAATTATAACTTTGGTTAAGAATAGTGAAAAAAATATTTTGTCAACTTGTTGCTCTCACATTTGGGGTAGTTGTGACCAAATTTTTTTTTGTTTTTGTTTTTTTTTTGTTTTTGGGTTTTTTTGTTCCCAACCTCCAATCATCGCAGTTTTTGCAAAGCATCTTTATTTGACATAAGTGTAAACAAATATTTGGAGTTTCTTTTATGTCTGGAAGTTAGTTATTTCAAATAAAAATAAAAGCTGGATCCACCCCTGGACATATAATATGTAAGTTTATTTCAATAAAAAGGCAGGGTATAACTATAAAAATTTTTAAATATATTTTGACATAATAATATATTAACAATATTTCACTGACCTATTGTGGTCAGCGCCATCAGTTAATTACCTGATGATGCTGACCACAATAGGTCAGCAAAATATCTTTAATATATTATTATATCAAAATACATTTAAAAATAGTTATAAGCTGCCTTTTTATTAAAATCAACTTATATATTATAAACATATTGTAAAACAAAAATATAACTTAAAATAAGCAAATCATAACTACATAATGTAGAGGTGAGCAAATGTGTATACACACATAAAATAAATATTAATTATATATATATATATATATATATATATATATATATATATATATATATATATATATATATATATATATATATATATATATATATATATATATATATATATATATATATATATATATATGATATATATATATATATATATATATATATATATATATATATATATATATATATATATATATATATATATATATATATATATATATATATATATATATATATATATATATATATATATATAGTATATCCGACACATATTCTATGTGTATTTATTTTCTAATCATTTTAGTTGTTCCAAAATTAATAATAAATTCAGTCTTGTATATATAACATTATTTTTTGAACTTTTTATTCTTTATACAAAACAAATTTGTATAAATTTGAACACATGGCTACGTTAATATAATAGGTCTTTTTTTTTTAGTTAATTAATTATTTAGAAGACGCTAAAGCATTACACTTTTTTGAATTAAGTAGCCTGGTTTTATCATTCATATTAAAATGTTGCAATTAGTTATTAATTAAAATTTATAGCTTAGTATTAATTTTATTTTTTGTCCGATGACTTAAACATACCTAACAAAAATCTCAGCTTTTAAAACCCTTTTTAAATTTTTTTTTTTAAATTTTAAACGTAAAAGTTATTTTAATGCTTATAGAAATCAGTACTTTTTATTACACTATTAAATTTGATTTGTTTCATAACATTTGTTTTGTAACAAACAAATTGCTTGGTCAAGTTGTAAAAACAAAATATTTTATATGCGTGGTCAGGAATGGTGTTTGATCGCACTTCTTTAATTTTAATCGGACATGTCCAGCAAACTTAAGTTTTTATTCAAGTCGTTATTAAACTTAAGTCTTCGATCTAGTTAATACAAGTCAGGACAAATTGTCCAGTAGAAAAAAGTTATTTCGATCCCTGCATGTATATATATATATATATATATATATATATATATATATATATATATATATATATATATATATATATATATATATATATATATATATATATATATGTATATATATATGCTCATCTCTACATTAGTAATTATAATGCAATACTGAAATATATTTCAGTATTGCTTCATAATTACTAATAGTTCATTACCAAAGTAATGTGCAACCCTTGATATAAATTATCACTACTAATTCTACAGACATAGATACATTATATACACTAATTGTAGTTATAATGTAAAACTGAACTATGAAACAAAAATAAAACAGTATCAAATGTTGTTTTGTTAATATTTAACTACCTAGCCATATACTTTTGTTTTGTTTTGTTTTATACACTTTTTAACTGTGCCTGATTATAGAAAATGGAGTCCCTAAGCACTAAATCTCTAAGGGCTTCATTTTTTCATATTTAAAAAAGAAAAATTAATATATTAAAATTAGAAGTATTTTGTCCCAGGCCATGGTCTAGTTGGACCATTTGTTAATCAAGCAAAGTAAAACTTGTTTTACTCTCAATCAACAGCATATTAAATTATTAATGTTTTAAATTTTATTTACAATAATCTTATTTTTTAGAAACAACTAACACTGCCAAAAGCATTATTAATGTTTAATTCTCAAAGTTTTCATAAAAATTGTTTTCATAAAAACATCCAATAAACATTCTAATTTATGTACATGCTTAATTTCAATCTTGTAGGCTTCTTTTTATTACTTTCAGTCAAAATCTATATTGCAATTTTATGTACAAGTGCATTAATTGCTTGTTGGAGGTTTTGTAAAAACTCCAACAACTAGAAAATTAATAGTAATACCATGGAAGTTTGATATTGAATTCCAGAACCGAAGTCTTCCACATGCACATAATAATTGCATTAGCTGCTGATGAAAAAATTCAAAATGCAGATAAAGTTTTTTTTTTTTTTAAACATCTTCGCTTCAAACAAGGCTTCAAGCAACCACTAATTAGTGTTGGAAGTTACTGGAAGAGAGAAGATGAAGATTGAAGAGCAAGATAACGATTGACAGACGACTTGAAAGATTGCAAATTATATGAATCAGGAAAGCAAGATGAAGGAAGCGAATTCCAAAGAACTGATGTTTGAGGAAAAAAACTAGAGGAATAAGAGTTTTTGGAGCATTTAGGAACAGTCACAGAAAAAGGATGAGACTTAATTGAATGACGAGTAACACGAGAATGAATTTTAGTAGATTGCACAAGAGACGCTAGGTCTCTAGAGCAGTGCCCATTATAGTATTTATAGAAAAGAGAAAGAGAAATAACATTACAAAGATGTGATATTGGTTGAAGGTTGGCTGCAAGAGCAGCTCCAACTATGTTTACAATGTTTTTGCACCTTGTCTAAAAGAGAAAGGACATCATTAGAAGATCTGCCCCAGATTTGGCATTAGTATTCCATACAAGGCCAGATTTGATATTTATAGAGATAGAGAATAAAATCCAGAGTAAGTAATTGTTGAGCTCGATAAAGAGATGCAACTTAAGCCGATGCTAATTTTGCAACGGATTTGATATATGGTTTCCAAGAAAGATCAGAAGTAAGAGTTAATCCTAGAGGATGAAGGGTAGATGATTCATCGAGTACATTACCATTCATAAATATAGAGGTCTAAATTATTGCAATAACGTTTAGCTAAAAAAAATTTGAGTTTTATCTGAATTAAAGTTCACCAGCCACTGTGAGCCCGATGCTGTAGTAGAAGTGAGACCTTTTTCAAGCTCAAATGCCCCCTCCAAGCAATCAGAGAGATTTGGCTTCTTATCATGACAAGAATAAATGGTAGTATCATCAGCGAACAATGCCACCTTAGATGTGAGAATATCTGGAAGATCGTTAATGTAAATTTAAAAAAGTATAAGGCCAAGGATTTTATTGTATTTTTACCTGAAAAATAGTTCATGGTTCATGTGGAGTGTTTAATTTAAATAGCATCTACATGGTTGGTAGTATTTTTTTGAAAAACTCATTAAAAGTTTTTCCAAAGAACTATTGTTAAAAGCAGTGGATATGTTAAACTTAGAACGGTATCAAAATAAAAGCTACAGCTAAAAGTAAAAAGCACGTTATGGGCAATAAACAGGTTTTTTAATCATTATCTCTGTAAAAAATATTATCGTCGTATAAATCTAGAGTTTTATTTTTAAGCATTTAAATATGCTTATAAGTATGTATGCAAAGAACATGATTCCATCATTATGAAAGTTACAACAAGTAATGAAGACTATGTGAATAAAAAGGATACTTTCGGTCAGCTTATAATTGCAAGTTATTTTAGCACTCTACGGGCGATTTGGCAATTATTAGGATTTCTAATGCATGAACAAAATACATGTGTTTTTTTTACCAACTTGCCATTATTTTATTTTTTATTAATTGTTTGGTAAATTTTGCCAATAAATTGCTAAAAAAAAATTTTCATTACTATTTTAATTCAGTTTTCATGTCGAAACAATTATATTTCAACGACTTATTAAATTTTTGATAAATTTAATTTTTTTTTTTTAAACGAAATATTTTCCTCAGTTCAGTCACAAAAAAGAATTAAATCAATAGACAATTTTTTATTTAAATTTTCTTTGATTTTTTGAAAACATTAACTCAGTTAGATTATTTGAGTTAAATAGAAAATAAGTGAGTCAGAGAAAATTATTAAAGTCGGGTTTTTCAGTTATACATGTTAGAAGAATTATTGTAGGAAATAGGGAGTAAAGGTACAAATATACAACATTTTAGTTTCTGAAATTCATTAAATTCATGTTGAAATCGTTTATAGCTACAATATTTGTTTCATGACTCAACTTTTTATAGAGAGCATTAAAATGAATAGATAAAAATTCAGTAATCTTTTAAGATGGCGTCAATAAATACAACAAAAAGTAGTATTACTCTTAAGTGGATTTATAACTTTAACAAAAACAGACACTAGAAGCTAAAGGCATAAATTTTGAGATTACTAAAAATTATGTAATTAAGATTTGAATTTAGATGTGCACCACCTTTTTTTGACTTTGTTGGATGATGCTTAATTTTAAATCCTTGTATGGTAATGTCAATTATATTAGAATCCTCTCTATAATAAATTACACTGGGTAATTCTTATCACCATGGTATTAATGAGACTAATTTATTAATGTCAAGGTATTTGCATTTAATTGTTGGATTAAACAACTTAGGTTGTTTGTTAACAAAAGGTTTAAAGTCGTTCATATTTCTAAATGTATTTAGGTAATCATTGGGTTCATGAGATTTTATTTTATTAGGAGAATTTTATTTTATTAGGAGAATTTTTGTAGGATAGAATTAATTTAATTTCCATATCAGAGAGCATGCTGAATATTATTTATATGTGCAGTCAGGGAAAAAACATTCAGAAGAGAAAGCAGATTGTAACTATGCTTGTCAATTGTAATACATTTTGCGTGAATTCAAAGGAAGCAACAGTCACATTGGATGGCTCTATGAGTATATTAAGTTTTTTATTGCAAAAAATTAAATTTCATGAGATGGTCAAAGTGTTTACAGAAAAGAAAATACAATTTATAGAAAAGAAAATCAAAAATAAAATAACCTAACAATAAACAGTAAATAACAACAAGAGTAATAGTCAACAAAATAGTAAGTTAATTATTATAAGAGTTGTGATTTTAAAATTGTAATTTTGATAATATAGAATAGTATTGCTAGTAGATACATAGACTCAGCTGTCAAATGTTTTTTACAAATTCTATACAAATCATAATATATGGGCATTAAAACATTTTAACTGTCTAAGGTTTTTTGTAACTTTTTACATTAGCGTGAGTTTTTTTCAAAAAATATAACCATAATAACTTTTTCTCCAAAATAAGATTAAGATGATTGGAGGAGTTTTCTTGGAATAAGCAGGAAGGTTCATTTATTTTAAAATAAAAGTTTTTTAAAAAAACAGAAAACACAATATTGAGATTATTTAAATTTTAAATAAAGATGATATCAGATTTTTTGATTAAAATAATTTTTTATTTTTAACCATTAAACTACAACTATTGATTTTTACAGAATTAAAAATTTTATTTTTGAACCTTTCAATTTTTTTTTCTTTTAATTTAGACCTAATCAACCAGCTTACTTAAAGTATAAACATCTTCTCCACAAGAGCGTGTCAGAATCATTAAATCTTCCTAATAAATATAAAGTTATACTTGAAATGATACGCTGTGTAGATTCAATACTGTATCTTTTGAATCAAAGAAAAGAAGTCTGTACATTTGATAGGCTTAAACAGTCTGTCCAATCAATGAATGGAAGGTAAGATAAATTATTTTGGTGTTTTTATCAATTGAGTTTCAAAATAAAAAAACTATCAAACTTATAAAAACCTAACTAAATTTTTATCATAAGAACAGTTTTGTTATTACAGTGCAGTAAAAGATGTTACTTTTTTACTAAAAAAAAAAAAAAATTTAATTTGCATATTGTAAAATTTATTCAAATCTTTTTAAACTTTGAAATATTGCATATTTTTTTAATATAAAAAAAAAGTATTTTCTAAATATTTATTTACAAATTTTTTATGGCTCTTTTGAAGTATTGTTTTAAAATTTATTATACTAATAAAAAAAATGTTTTAGGGATTTTAACTTGAAACATTTAGCATCAATAAAAACTGTCTATCCAACTGGATATGTCTTTCGTCAAGAGATTCTTCAAAAAATCAGTCCTGTTGATTATCATTTGACAATTGAAGCAAATTTTAAAGATGTAACATCTTCTAATATTATTACTCCTTCAGTACTGATTACAAGGCGTTTGAAAGTTGAAAATATTCTTGTAAATATAACTAAAATGCATCATCAGGTTAGTAATTATTTGTTTCTCTTTGTAATATTACTATCAATGTTTACAAATATCACAAAACACTGTTAAAGTTTGTGTTAAAGAGTATGTGTCTCTGTGTGTATTATTTTACTATTATAGTTATTATTTAAAAAATAAAATTTAAAACTTTGTTACATTCCTGACTAATTAAAGCACTTTTAATTGTTTAGAAAGTTTATTTTATATTTTTATTGGAATTTTTTTTAACTATTTAAATTTACAAATAAGGAAAATAGCTAAAATAGTATAAAAATTTATTATTGTTGAATATAATAAAATATTATAATATATTGAATATGATATAATATATTGAATATAATATAATATATGTATGTATTATATATTAAATAATATGTATACATAAATACATATACTTATACATAAGAGTGCTGAAAATAGTTACCAATCAACACTGGTTGGTTGAAATAAGAGTAAGCTTTTACTAAAAATTATAGAATATTTTTTTATATTTTGCTGTTTTTATTTTAATTATTTTGTTTAAACTTTAGTATGCTTTTTTTTTTTCTTCTTTCCATTAAATTCAGAAACTGTCATTTTAATTGGTTATTTTTTTTATATTTTAAATTGTGGCAATAAACTCTGAATTTACTTTTTCATTTCTTCGCTTCACTTTTTTAGGCATATTTTCTGTGAGTGGTGTTTTGGGCACAAAACAATTTATTGTTTTTTAAAATAAGTTCTTATATTAAAATTAAGCTTTATTATATATAAAAATGTTTCCTCAACAAATTTTAAGAACAATAAAAGAAAGAAAAAAATTATTTTTACAATGATTTGTGAATGGTACTGACTTTATGTTAACTATTCCATCAACCCTTTAAACTTTAAAATTTTTTAGTTGTTTTTGATTAAAACTTTCTTTTGTAAATTTTTTACTTTTTTTCTCGCTGTGTGGTTTATATACTGATTGCCTTTTACAATTTTCTGACACTTTTTGACACTATTTTATGAATATTTTTATTCTTTTTTTTTAACAATTTCTAAATTCATTTTAAAAAAATTGTTTTGCTTAAATTGTTACAATTTTCTCAATGCAATGTTTTTCCCACTAATTATAAGTTATTCAGGTTTTTATTCAGACTTTCAAAGAAATGTTTCTAGTTATTATTTTAAATTCAAATTTCATTAAAAAAAATTCAATTCATTCAAATAGTTTATTAACATTTTGAACTAAGAACTGTTATCAAAATTATATCTAAAAATTAAATCTTAAAATTATGTTCGTTCCACTAATCAAAGGCTTACTGTATTTTTTATTGCTCTGCATCTCTCTGAGTTACAAAACTACTGTACTGAAAATGACTTTAGCAAACTAATTCCAACTGGATCTTGTGGTTTTTATTTGATTCATCTATCAATTAAAACTGGGGAAAAAAACATTTTAAAAGCTCTTTATAAACTTCTCCATAATTCTCTTGCCAGACGAGAAGACTTTACATTTGTGACTGAAAGTAATCAATTTCCTCTTCTTTTTTGTGGTACTCGATGGGTTGATGATGAGAAGGTGGCTTAAAGAGCTGTTGATATTTGGGAGAGCATTTGCAAAATATGTAGATTTTGGGAATCTCTACTAAAGAGTAAGCAGCCTTCGTGCATGAGCTACCAAATTATTTTATCTGCTACTAAAGATCTTTTATTATTAGCAAAATTTTATTTCTTTGCTCATATAGCTCATATTATGCAATCCTTTTTAACCTTATATTAATATGCTAAACCTATGATGCCATTTTTATATGATTACCTTTATCGACTATGTCAAAGTCATTATAGCTGATATTTTAGATCAATATAAAACTGCAAATAGCCTCTGCAAATTGAATTTAAAAAAAAAAAAAACTATTTAAAAAAGCCAGATATTGGATGTTGTGCCAACAATGTTGTAAAGATTAAAAAAAAAAAAGATGAAATCACTTCAAAAGATACTTATGCTTTTAACTATATTTGCATATGTTTTCTACAGTCGTTGACATGTAAGTTAGTGGAAAAATTGCCTTTAAAATAGTTATTGTGCGAAATGTAAATTGTTTTGACCCAGAAATAATGTGCAGTGAAAAAATGGCAAAGGAAAAGATAAGTGATTTGGTTGATAATTTGATTCAATTGCATTGGGTTACCCCAAAAGGTGGGGATGAGGTATATACCGAATTCAAGAGATATTCAGAAAAGATTGTTACTAAAAACAGGAAACCTTTTATGAATTTCAATAATAAATAGATGATAGATTGGATGAGTTCTTTTTTTCTAAAGTTAGTGGTTTAGATGATTATCCGGTACTGTCTAAATTAATCAAAATGGTTATAACCTAATTTAATGAGTAAATGATTAATAAGCCAGAGAATTGTGTATGCTATATGAAACCTCTTGACTCTTGACAAGCAGCAGTTGAAAGAGGGTTTAATATTAACAAGAATATGTTGCAATCTAATTTATTGAGTAAATCATTAATAACCCAGAGAATTGTGTATGACTATATAAAAGCTCTTGACCCGGAATCTATAGTTATCTCTAAGGAACTGAGAGAGTCTGTCAAAAAATCACTGAGTCAGCATAAGATTAAAAAAGCTGCATGAAATCAGCATAAGATTAAAATGGCTGCACGAAAAGAAACTGAGCTTACAGATGCTCAAAAGTGAAAAAGTGACTTGCTATAGATGTAAAGGACTTACAATCTAAAAAGGTTATTCTGGAAAAAGTAAAAAAGAAACACTAAAAAGTAATTCAGAAGCAGTTCTTGTGAAAGCTGCAAATGATGCTGAAAAAGCTCATACTTATGCTATTAAAGCAAAAGTTATTCTTAAAGAGAGAGAAAAGAAAAAAGAAGAGATTAAAAAATTAGATAAAACAATTGATTTATTATTTAAGAAAAGTAAAAAACTTTAAAATTTTAAATATTAGTTAATTATTTTTTATATACAGTAAAATCTAAATTTATATAGATATTTAAAAGATATTTAAAAGTATATTATATAAGTTATTATTTATTTTTGAAAAGATTTTTAATATTTATGTGGCAATACTTATTCAGTCTTTTTAACAAGAAGTAAAAATTTTGTTGAAACTTTTATCATTCTTTCAGTATTATTTTTTTCTCAACCATTTGGTGTATGTCTATTTTTCATCTTTAAAATATATGTTGATTTCAGCTTTATATTTTACTTTTATATTACTTGTGTAATTCTGAATTACACATATATATATACAGTTCTTATACATATACATATACAGTTATTCAGTTATTTTTTTCTGAATTTTACACTTTACTTTAATTAAATTTTAAATGTACTTTAATAACAATAGTAACAATGACAACATATACTTTGATAAATGTAATAATGATGCTTTATTTTGAATTGTACATGATATTCACCAATCCTTTTTAAGTCTGGAGAAGCTCATAATAACTAAAATAAAGAAAATGCTCAGAAAAAAGAGCTCCATGATCAGGTAAAAGTCAACCGTAAGATTTTGGCAGACACTCTGTGATTGCTTGCAGCCTTGTTGGGAGTAAATAATTAAAAAGGACATTTTGACATATTTTACTACCTATTTGAAAGAGTGTTGTAATCATAAAATGAGATTTTTTATAGATATTTTAATTAAATCTTAAAGCGTGTATACAAAATAAATGTGAAAGTAGATAAACAACTATAACAACTAAAAAAAAGTACTCTTCAATTTTTATTTCCAACCAAGTAATAACTTTAATACAATAATATAAGATCAAATATAAAAAAAAAAATCTAATTATTCCTGTGTGAATCTAATAAAATTTCGAACTTTTGCTTTGAGGGTACCCATAAGCTTGTGCACAGAAAAAGAATTAAAGCCATTTGATGCTTTTTTAAATAATATTTTAATATCTTTAATATTTCTGCAAAGTTTTTTTGTTTTTTTCATTTTTCTTTTAATAATGGCCCAGTATTTTTCAATAACTCTTAATTCTGGGCAGTTTAGAGGATTTTCTGTTTTAGGCACAAATTTCACATTATTTTTATACCATTCCAAAGCTAGTTTACAATAATGAATTGTAGCTAAATCTGGCCAGAACACAGGTCCTTTTCGTGTGAGTTAATGAGACGTTTTTGTAAACACTCTTTAACATATATATATATACCCGAAAGTGTGGACTGAGAAATATAAGGTGCTAGTTTTTTGCCACAACTGCAAATAGCTTGCCAAATCAGGACTTTTTGAGCAAACTTGTCATGTTTTATGTATTTAAATTTTTATGTATCTGCTTTTCCTCTACATTTGGCAGTATAATAGACAGCACCAGGAATTTGCTAATGATCATACTTGATATAAGTTTATACATAAATTTTTATAAATAAAATTGTCATACACCTTTCTGCAGCAGGTTTTTGCACTTTTTTGTTGAGTTTCAGATCAGTTGGGCACTTTTTGTACTTTGAAAGAATGAAAACCATGTTTATTTCGAACTTTTACAACAAAACTATGAGAAAGTCCATAAATGTTTGCGCGCTCCTTTAGTGAAAGGCTTGGGTTAGTCTTAAAACTGTTAACCAGTTTTCTAACTAGTTTTTTAGCTTTAAGTTCTTTCTTCCACCACCAGATTTCTGTTTGATTGATTTTGTTTGAGAAAAATGTTTGATTACACAACTAACGGTGTATTTGCAACGCTTTTGCTATCAAATTGTAGCTACAATTGGGATTTTCCAAATATTTGTGCATAATTTTTTCTCTTATGTCTTCTTCTTTTGACATTTTTAAAACTAATTTTAAGTTAAATCAAAAAACTAATAGATTTTTTTGAAACCACAACAATGTAAACAAAATACAAAATAATTAAAAAGATTTTTTTTTAACAAAAAGCAAATAAATTTCTATACATAGATATAAAAAATAACTGATCTAACTATATTTGAAATTAATTAAAAATAGATGATGATGATTAATTAAAACACAGCTTCTGAATTTTAAATAGATGAGTAATTAAAACACAGCTTCTGAATTTTAAATAGATGATGAGTAATTAAAACACAGCTTCTGAATTTTAAATGGAAAGAAAAACTAAAAATGATAAGAAAAAACTACCAAAAAAATTTTTTTGAAAAAGTATTTTTCAAACATAAAATTAAAAACCCTTTTTTAAAACCCTCTAAGATTAATATATTTAATTTGAAGCGAAAATAAAACTTTTAATTGGATATATTTTTATAACTATATATAAATAAAGGTATATGAAGTAAGATTGAAACAAAAATATATATTTTATAATTGTTCCTGTCATTACCATTACTTATGTGTTTTTGTAAATATTGGTGTGAATCTGATTTTCATATTATTTTATGTTGTTGTTTTTTTGTTGTTGTTGGTTTAAAAAAAAAAAAAAAAAAGCTTAGCACGTTGTTAAAAAATTGTTTAGAAGTTTTTACAACAGTTAAACATAAATGTGGATAATAATGATGTTCAAAGATGGCATCCTGACTTCAAACTAAATTCTGTTCCTGATATTGAATTATCATTATTGCCTAGTGCACCTGTTCTTAAATGCTACTCAAGTGCAGCAGATATTTTATTACAAAACAAGAAAGATTTGTCTTGCAAGGTAAAATATATTTGTTATTTTGAACTATTTTTTAATTATTTGTTATATTTAAAATAATATTATATTTTATATAATATTTGTGACATGATTTAATTATTTGATTTTGAATATATAGTAGATATTATATTGTTGATATAAAAAATATGTTTACCGTGTATAATATGTTGATCGTATAAAAGTAGGCCAAAACATCTTTTGTGTTTTTGCTTTGAAATGCATTTAAGTTGAAGCTGAACAATTTAACCTTGTTTTGACTCTGTCAGTCAACTTTGTCTGTCATACTGTTAGGCATTTATTTTGTGAAAAGAAACATATACATGTATAAAAGTACAAGTACATATGAATTTTAAAAAAGTGCTCTTTTCTAGAAAGTCTCTTTTTCTAAAGTTAAGTTCTTTTCAACATTCTGGTTCTTTATTAAAAAAGATCTAACTGTGTTAGTATGAATGAAAAATTGTTAGTCATTATTTATGATTACAAAATTATTGATATTTAAAAAATAGTTTGCCAGATAATTAGCTTTTTTTATTTTCTTAAAATAATAATAAATATGTACTTGCTAGTACACAATGGTAATGGAAAATTACTAAAAGTATTAGACTTTATATTTTTAGAAAAGTTTAGAAAATGGTATTTCAATAGATTTATTTTTGTAAAGTTAGCTTGTAGTTTATATTCTATTTAAAAATATAACTGGTAAATAACTGTTTAATTTTAAAATGGGTTAAAGGTTTAATAGAATAAGTTGCTCAAGAAGAATCAACTTAAAAGATATTTTATTAATTTACTGCTAAGTTTTGTATTTCATTTCTCTTTCTCTATAAATGAAGGATATGCCTGCATTTCTTAAATTTTTTAGGGTCTAATAAAACAAGTTGTAACAATAATCAAATAACGAGTTTTTAAAAGTTAATATTTTTGCCTCTCGAAAATGATTTCAAATGGTCTCAATACCGAACTGTAAAAATTCACAACTATGAAAATTCAGATTGTTAAGCCAGTCTTTTTACAATACATTTAATTTTTAAAAAATTTCCGTTAATATGAACTTTAACCATATTAATTTTTCCTTGTTTAATTTTACATCTATGTTTTGTTTTTTCTATGACATTTTTCAATGATGTTTTTGTAGGTCGTTAATTGAGTAATGTAGGTCATATTTTAAAGTCCAACATATGTAACCATTTACATACATGCATATGCCTTAAAGTCAAGCAGATTTTAAATACATCTTCTAGGTGTTTAGTAAATGCACTTATTATCTTATTTATTTAATTGTCTTGTACCATTTATTTAATTTGGTTTGGAATAAAAAAAAAATTTATTAGAAATTAAGATACAAATGTTAAAATTGAGACATAGTTACAGTGTTACAATTAATACATAGTTATGGTGTCATAATTAATACCTAGTTTTATTGTCATAATTGACACATAGTTACAGTGTCATAGTTAACACATAGTTACAGTGTCATAATTGATACACGGTTACGGTGTTATGGTACATAGTTATAGTGTAATAATTTATATATTTCAAAAATGAATTTTTGAAGAGAAAATTTTGCAAGAGTTATTAAAAAGAAACTGTATGGGTTGTTATTTTAATATTGATCACATTAACATAACTATAAAAGTTCCGGTCATAGATTTAGTATAAAAAAAGTGTCTTTTATATTTGATTTAAAGAATTTATTTATTAATAATATTGTTTTAAATTTCGGTATTTTTTTAAACAAGGTTGAAAAAGCTCTTGAAAGTGTGGTGAGAAAATCTTTGTCAAAAGAGGAAAAAAATGATGTTGAAAATCTTTCTGTAGCTAATACTCAAACTAAGTCAAGTATCAAGAGTCTAAAGGGTGTTTCGAATGAACTTTTAGAACGAATTAAACTTAAAGAGCAGAAGAAAATAGAACAGGCTTTGACCTGTGATCCTGCGGTTATAAAACGCATGGCTCTTATGGAAAAGTTGCCTGAAATGGCTCGTATACTCAAAACTTTTTTTACAGCTGAGAAAAAAGCTGCAATCACTCTTGAAGATTGTTTATTAAAGCTATGCGAGAGTTATGCAACAGCTATACCACCGAGTAAGTAAATGAAACTATTGGTTAATCTCAATAATTTCTAACGTTATATTTCAAGACGGACATTTTTTTTTTTTTTATTATTATTTGAATGAAGTCAAGAATTAAAGAAATTTATTGATTTTAAGTTTTATTGATTTTTAGGCGAATGTGAAGATCTACTACGATTATTAGCAGAACTTGTTCCGTCTTGGGTTACTATTGTTTCAGTGCGCAAGTGTCCCTACATAAAACTTGCGCGCGATGTTGATCTCAATAATGTCATGAATGTGCTATTAACTGCAAAAAAAAATCAAGATTTTAAAACCGTATAATTTTTAACATTTTATATTTTAGAACTGTATATGATTAATTTATTAATCAAGAACTTAAATTATTAAAGGTTGTAAACAAATATTTATTAATATTTTTATTCTAATAAATGATATGTTTTTATTAAAACTTTTTGTTGTCATTCATGTTAATATTTTGCGCTATAGATTAAATATATCGTGGGAGATTGATGTGGACATTCTAATCAAATAACCTATCCTATTTAATCCCGTCGTTGCTTCATTTGAGAGTAAATAAACGTTTGCGTAATAGTTCCCGAAATTATGTTTATTTTCTCAAATAAGAGATCTAAAAATACTCGTGATCTTTTAAATACCTGCGAATAAAGATTTTTAAATCTTATATAGCTAAAAGAAAAATCATCTAATTAAATATATTTACAATGTTTTACAAAAAAAAAAAAATTATAATAATAGTTTTGCTGACTAACTGTGGTCTATATAATGGGATTTGCTTAAATCCAGCGAAAGTTTTGTAATCTGTATGTCTCTTCTTGCAAAGAAGTTGCGTCTTTTTTAGTTTTTTTTTTGAAAAAATATTTACCAAGATTTTGAAGACTGCTTACTTTTTTAGTACAAGATTTTATATTTAAATGATCTAGCGTTTCTGTTATTTGAAAAGTGTTTTTATGAAAGTGATTAAACTCCATATTGGTTGTTTGCCTACTTAGTTGAAGCTCTCTTGCAACGCAATCAAAAACTAGATCTACGCCATCTTCTTCTTTAACAGATATTTCAATGGCAACCATGCCTTCAAATTCAGCGTAGTTCTTTGCATTTTTAAATAGTACTTCTCTATGCTCTGATAAATCTTTTTTGTTTCCCACTAATACTTTTGTAATGCCTTGTTTTCCAGAATTTTTTATAATAGAATTCCATAGTGGAAGGGAGGCAAATGTTTCTTTATTTGTTAGATCGTAAACAAAAATTACGGCATCTACGTTTGGCATATAACTTTTTATTAGTCCATGAAATCCAAAACATCCAGCAGTATCAAGAATGTTGAAATCGAATGTCTCTTCGTTAATGTTAACGCAAACTGGAACGCGATTAACACCGACTGTCGTCGTCGTTCTTGACAAAAACGTTCCTAAAACATATCTTCTAACTAAGGAACTTTTTCCTACACCAGGTTCTCCTAATACCACAACATTAAAACTTTTTTTCTCTTTGCTCATTTTATGATTTAATTGTTCTACAAGTAATAGTAATTGGTTGCTCAACACTGTTTAAACGTTTAAAAGTGTTGTGATTTCAAAAATGTTGTTTTAAATACTTTTGATGACATAAGAAATAAAGTAAACATTGCATTTTGTGTTTTCAAAGCGTCACACTTTTTTATATGGTGTCAGATATCAATATAAAAATATTACAAATTATCTTTTCGAATATAAGATTTTATCACACTTTGATGAAATAAATTTTGTTCAAAAATATTCATTAAATATAAGCTTTATAAATATGTTTAATTTTAGTAATTCAGGTGGAAAAATGGATTATTCAGTATAGATTTTTTGACGTTTTTGATGACTTGATGTATTATATATGTAAAACAATATTCTTGATTTGCAGCTGTTGTTGTCATAAACATTTTTATTTTAATATAAACATTTATGTATTTTTACATAAATATTTATATTAAAATTTTTATTACTTAAGCTAAAATAATAATATATTCCATTTTGGCTTTAAAATTGACAGGTTTTCTAAAAAGAAACAGAAAATTTAAACAAAGTATGGTCAATTGAATCTGTTCTTATGGCGTGTCTATTTTTTGTTTACTGGACACAAAAGTTTTAGAGCATTTCAAGCTCGAGTTCAATCAGAGAGTGTTTGCTTCTTGTCATAGTTTGGTCGGTTAATGTTGACGTAACAATATATTACTGCCGGACACCAACAAATCTTTTTGCACGACTAAAGGTAATATATTCCTGTATGTAAAACAATCGAGACACAAACCATTAAGCTAATAAAATTTGTTTAATTGGTCTTTAAAGATAAGAAAGACTTATGTCTTGATGACGCCATTATATTACGTTACGCTCCGATGTGGTCGTTATAGCTCTCTCTGTGTTTAGCCAAATAACTGGAGTGAAAGATTGGAGTGGATTGATTTTGGAGTTGGAAAAGGAAGACAATGATATCAACACATTCCAGATGGTGTATCATCAAATTTACCATTCTTTCATGCCTTCACCGAATGTGACACAGTATCAACATTCTGTGGGATTGGAAAACGAACGGCGTGGAAAGCGTGTATGAAATACCGAGTAGTTGATGCTGCATTTCACAATCTTTCAACGTCAGACTTAAAAAATTATGTCTTAACAGATACGGCAATGAAAATAATTGAGCGATTTGTAGTATTGATGTACAGTAGATCATCAACCACTGCTGGCGTTAACGAATGCCGCCGTATCTTCTACACTATAAAGAATAGAGCAATTGAAAACATTTCGCCGACTGCAGACGCTGGAGCACACAAAGAGAGAAGCACTGCAGGCACACTTATGGAAACAATGCTTGTCCTGTTACTCCAGGATATATACCCACTGAATGGGAATGGAAAGATACAGCTGATGACTGCTATATACCACTTTGGTGCACTCTGCTGGAGGTTTCTCGACATTGCCAGGAACTAATTCGTTGTTCGTACAAAACTGAGTGTAAAAACTGTTCATGTAAACGACATGGTTTACCATGCACTAAGCTGTGTGCATGTAACAGCAATTGTTACAAAGAATCAAATGGTGGCTCATATAGAGAGTAAGAAGTTGAAGAAGACCCGGAATTTGACCATGTTCTCCAGATCTCCTTTCATAGTAATCCAAAAGTGTATTGTAAATATGTAAATATTTAAAAACGTTATTTTGTTTACAATACCGCTATTATACTTTACCAATTACACTAAAGAAGTTCGTTTATGTCTTATTGGCGACCAATACTTGATTACTTTTTAGTTCCTTATTTTAACACATCTAACAAGTTTTGAGATTTGTCTTATATTTTCTATATAAAAATGATGAGTTATGTATTTTTTTGATCAGCATTCTAGTGTGTTGATAACTGTTAACGATACCAAAATCTCATTATTTTAAGATGCTTCCTGAGCATATTGTCAATTCCTATCTTACCCACAGATATTGTGATAGTCCTTTATCACTGTTATCTTTTAATTGATTTCATTTAGTATTTACTGTAACTTACTTGAAGTGCATTGCTTAAATACTGTGAGTATGTAGATAATATATGTGGCATTATTATAATGTGATGATAAACAAAGCCATAGAATGCCGTTATTTGATGATTTATGTTTCAACAAATGTCTGCCATTAACTGGAGAATTACATGAATCTTGGTATCCTGATGCTTTATTTCTTATCGATTAAACTTTTTTTTTTTTTTATGACAATATACTATGGTATAAATATCGTTGTACATTAAATATCAGAACACGGAGACTCAAAGAGGATCGTAAGATCCTGTCACTGAGAACCGTTTAACAATGCAGTAAAGATAAAACCAGTTAAATAATTACAATAAATGACGTTTAAAAATAAAATTTAAATTTAACCAGATATTTCAAAACATAAAATAAAGTTTAACAACATAAAGAATATATATAAAACTAAATATTTCAAAATAAAACAATATATTCAAGAATCACACACTTTTTTTAAAGGTATAAAATCAAAAGAACTCAAAGATATAATCGATTGAAAAGATAACTTTTTTCAGCTTAATTTTAAAGCTAAGAAAACTCCAACTTTGGGAAAAATCAAAATTTTTCAAAACTATTTTTTCCACAGTAGAGCTCTATGTTAAAAGAGATCTTCAAAAACTTGTATGAGAATAATGTTGATGAATAAGACTGTCATTTCTTAAGCCATATGTGTTTTTTTGTTTTATTGCATATAAATTTTGAAAGGATATAGGGGTTAGGTTTATCTTACATTTGTACATAAATAACAAAACATTTTGTTGGTATATATTAGGAACATTCATTTCCAATAAAAGAGGTCTGGCATGAGTATAACAATCTTTAAAGTTTATTAAACGTACTATATGCTTCTATTGCCGATATAGAGGATCTAATTGAATTTTTTTAGCACTGCCCCATGCGATATTTGCATAGTTTATATGGCATTGAATTAGCGAGTGTTGAATTAATAAATGTCGATATACAAAATTTCTCGCTTTATACATTACTCCAATATTTTTTGAAACTTTATTGCGCAAAATTTCGATATGGTTTTTCCAAGTTAGATTTTCATCAATGAAAACACCAAGGAAATTTATAACTTTTGATTTTTTTATTTGAACATTGTCAATATATATTTGAGGCAAATCATTTGGTAAAAGTTTTTTTTGAGATTTTGAATGAAGTAAAGTTCATTAAGTTTTTTCCAAGTTAATTGATAGTTTATTTGATTTAAACCAATTTGAAATTATAATTAGTTCTATGTTGATTTCATTAAATAGTGTAATGATATTTTTACCGGATAGAAAAAAATTTGTATCATCAACAAACATTACTGTCTTCAAATTTGAGTCATTGTGCAGATCATTAACATAAATGAGAAAAAGTAGTGGCCCTAGTATAGACCCTTGGGGAACACCACATGTTATATCTAGTGAGGAGGATATGTTAATTTGCACAAACTGTTTACAATTGCTTAGGTAGCTTTTTAGCAAATTTAATAAATTTCCTCTGATTCCTTAGTTTTTAAGTTTTTGTATAAGAATCTCATGATCTATCGTATCAAAGGCTTTTGATAGATCAATGAAAACTCCAAAAGTAAATTGTGATTTCACAAAAAAATCTACAATATTGCTAGTTACATGAAGTATGGCGTATTCCGTGGAATTATTTTTTTTGAATCCATATTGACTGGCATTTAATATTTTATTTTTAGAAAGATGTTCATATATTTTGTTGTAAAGAATCCTTTCAAAAACCTTTGAAAAGCCAGAGAGTACAGATATTGGTCGATTATTAGTTATATTTGATAATTCACCACCTTTATATATTGGTGTAACTTTAGCGATCTTTAGTTGGTCAGGATATTTTCCTTATTTTATTGAGTAACTAAACACTTTGAATAGTATAGTTTTTATGATGTCGTAAGATAATATAATAATAATGTTGCTATTTATTTCGTCCTGACCTCTCACTTTATTTGGTTTTTGCATTTTATAAGCGCATTAAAATTCTTTCATTGAAATTTCAAAATTATTAAGAATAGAAATTTTGGGAAGGCTAAAATAATTTCGGTTGAAAAAATACTCGGTTGTTGCTGTTGACAAGTGAGAGATTTGATTGTCAGTAGAATTTTTATCGGCAAGAACCAAAAACATTTAACAATTTCATTAACAAAGTACGTATGTATATTGAACTTTAATATATCATTACTTATTCATTTCCATATAAATATGCGTTTCTTGTTATATGATTGAACAAAACGGCGTTTATTTGAAGCGGATATCGCCACTGGTTCTAAAGTTATGACCATTTAAAAACATTCAAGATGGCCGATGGCGGCCATCTTGAATTCTCAAAACTATGATTTTAAGCAAGCTTAATGTAATATTTTTCATAGAACAAGACGGCGTTTATTTTAAGGAGAAAAACCTCTCAAAAAAAAATTTTTTTTTAATTTTTTTTTTTTTTTTCAGATAATTTAAAAGTAAATTTAATTTGTTTTTTTTTTAATTTAAAAATCAAATGGTTAAAACCGTATTTAAAAATCACTTTTTTTTATATTAATAAAATCATTTTTGTGCAACCACCGAAGTTCAATTTTTCCTAGCAACGCCCCTAGTTACAGAAAAAATATCAATAAAACAGTCAAGCTTTTTTTTCCGGAGTTTGTTTTGCAATTTTGTTAGAAATGCTTTCTACTATCTCTAAAGCCATATTTTAAAACCACATATTTCAAAAAGTGTGCTAAGATAAGTCATCTTTTTAGGCTTGTACTCAATTAACACAAGCTTTCTACAAAAAAAAAAAAAAAAAATGGACAAGTCTAAGACAGAATATTTAGAATATTTAGAGTTAAATTTATGGAACATGGCAAAAAAGGGGATATAGTTCACACAACGGGGTGACAGCAATATTATTGATCAATTGCTCGATTTCAAAATTATTTTGGTATTTACATCAGTCAAAATTGTGGCCACCTTAAAGGTATGAGATCTTCAGCCTCAGCAAGTTTATTTTATGCAGCATCTTCAAGTAATTAGCATTACCCGCATTGTCCCACAGGTAAAGACAGTTAGTGTAAATACAATTGGGATTAACCTTATGGAGCCAATGAGTCTAAACCAGGACCAGGTTTTCCTCTTGAAATTGTACTTAAATTAAACTCCATTTCTGTAGAATTAACATCAGATGCTTACTTAAATTTTTTACTTCATGGAAAAACACAGAACCAAATTTAAAGCTTTAATGATATGATATGTTCCAGAATACCAGTGTCAAAGTATGTTTCGCTTACACAACTGAAATTTGGATTCTATGATGCTATAGGAGCCTTTAATATTGTATTAAAGTTTAGTATCCTTACATTTGAAAGACTTAATATGATACCAGGACAGCATACCATTTCTGGATGCAATTACTTGAACTAGAAAAGAATTAGCATGTCAGAGTATAAAAATCAAGACACCATTAAGAAACAAAGAAAGATTTTAAGAGGCCACAAGCATAAAAAATCTGACAAATTTAAACAAAAAGAAGGAAATATTTATTGGGCTGGTGTTCATGAATAAAAACTACTATTAATATGCTCTATTTATATAATATTTTTTGTTTTGTTGTTATTTTTAATTATTTTTCATCACAATTTTAACTTAATTGTCATTTTTCTCAAATATATTACTATATAACGTAGAATCAACATTTAAAAGTTTGGTAGTTGATTGCTCCACAAATCATAAATAATAATTAATAGAATAAATGTAGTTTACATTACTAACTAAAAAAGAAAAAGAAAAGTCCGTAGATAACAAAAAACGCTTAAATTTGAATTGTTCAAGTGTATTTTTCTTGTTAGTAACAATCTGGTGGAAATATTTCCACACTGAAGGTCCCCGGTGTTGGGTTGAGTATGAATTTAGTTTTAATGTAAATATTGGGATCACAGAGTTGAATCTTATGAGAACCTAGTAGGAATCTAGTAATCTATATATTTATGGCTTATCTTGCTAAAATGGTATTGAAATACGAGGGAGGCAGTCCATATTTTATTTTGTACATAAATTGTAAAACAAGATGTATGTTAATTTTGTATACATTCAACGCTCCAAGTTTGCATAAGAGATGTTCACAAGGTTCTTTTTTACTTATTCCAAAGACAATTCTACAGGCATGTTTTTGTTTACTGTAGAATTTTTAAAGCTTAGTATAATTTATGCTCGCCGAGGCCATGTTACCATAACTTAGGCGACTATGTGTTAATGAAAAATATAAACTTTTTTTTTTTTAATTTTTTCTATTTATTTGAGTTTTTCATGCTATTTTTTTCTATATAATGTTCTTATATCCGAAGATATTGTTGGCTTAGCATAAGAACAGCCACAAATAGTCATAAAGACTAATCCAAAGTAGCGTCCGTTATTGACCGTTATTTAAGGACATGATATTTAGGAGGTTTTGCTTTTTACATTAATGAAATATTTTTTGAGAGCTTTCTCTCTAAATTGTGTCTTTAAAGTGAGCTTCCACGACAAACTTTTATCTAAGAAACTAAAAAGTTTATGAAGGTTTCTCTTTTTATATTAGATTTGTTTATTTTTAGTTCAGGTAGTTTAGGAGGAACATCTTCATTTTTTTTAGTTTATGAAATAAAATGAACTTAGTTTGACAAAAGTTTTTAACATTTATAGAGAATTTGTTGAACCAATGAACCATTTGTTTATTAATGTTTATTCTTTGTTAACTATGTTAAAAAGTGTTTTAATGTCTCTATGTATATTTAATAAGTTTGATGTTAAATATATACCATTTATATAAATTAAAAATAACAGCGGTCCCAAGATCGAGCCTTAAGGAACCCTGCAACTGCTATCAGTTGCTTTTGTTGTTTTTGTTATTTCATACTGAATGTATTGCTTTCTGTTTGATAAATAATCTTTAAACCAAAGTAAGTTATTATTTTTTACTCCATACACTTCAAGATTTTTTAGAAGAATATCGTGATTTACGGTGTCAAAAGCTTTAAAAAGATCAATAAAAACTCCTAACGTAAAGCAATCATTACTAAAAGATATATGAGTTACTAGTTTAATTCAAACATGATTGTTTAAGTGTATTTTTTTTATCCAAGTTGTTTACCGTATAAAAAACTGTTTTCCGTCAAATAACTCTATAGTCTATTATACATGACGCGATCTACTAATTTGGAAAACCATGGTAACTGATAAAGGTCATTCATTAGTAGTATAAAGGCGAGTTTCCACTCATCTGTTTTTTCACGGGAACGGGAAAGGAACGGGAAAAATAATCACGTGGGCA